GACGGAGAGGGGTCAGCATGGAGGAAGAACCTCTGGGTGGGACGAGGGCGAGGTTGTATGAGCAAATCAATGAGACGAAAAGCTAGTATTGGTCCTGCTGGATTTATCCCCCCCAATGTCAACACGGAGCGTCAGTGTGAAGAAGAGACTGTGCCCTGTTTGCCCTGAGAGCAGCAGGATAAATCTCATTCTCTCCTTTACAGCTCATTTAATGAAGGATATAATGGTGTGAGTAGGCTGAACGACTGTTAGCAGACCATTCTGGTGAATAGTCTGTAAATCTTTTATCCTCCTCCTCTAGACCTGACTTTAATTTGCTGCTAAACCTGAGTTATAAATCTGAAATGGCATGTAAGTGGCTACGCTAGCACATGGCAAATAATGTGTTCCTCTTTGGTTACATGAACTTTTGGGATTCAATATTTCCAATGCAGTTATTAATTCATGCTGAAAAGAAAACTAATATAATGCTGATGTAATGACTGTTAGAATAAATCAATAAACACCACCATAAAGAGGAAAGAGTCAATAAAAGTTTAAACTGTTAAATCAGGATTTCTCAACCCTCTCTCGCCTGAAATCCCACTTTGAGGTTCTTTCCCGAGTTTTATATTCTGTCTTCAAGAGCATGGATGGGGGGATTATACAACCGCAAACATGAATTAATTTCTAAATCAAAAATAATCATTAATTTATTAGTCTATAAAATCTCCCATGACCTAGTCTGTATAGTAAAAGCTCCATTGATTTTACATGTCAAAGTCAACTCATGGGAAATACTAATCACTTGTTGTGAATTGTCTTCTGTGGATCTGGAGGGGCTTTTTAACCCTGCTCACACATGTCTTCATTGCATCTATATAATTGCAGACTCATACAGCACACAGAAGCTCCTTGTGGACAACAGCATGTAAGTACACCACCAACAACAAACTGTAAAATCCACCTCAAGAAACTGTCCTCCTCAGCAGTACAACCATCCACATATGTAAACCAGACCTTAAATCCCAGAGCCATTGACTAATGAGAGAATGAGCGTAAGTGAACACGCTGAATCAGTCAGTGAACAATGAGCTCACTCATTCACTCAAAGCATGAATGAGTAAGTGAGCAGTGTGAGTATTTGAGTGACCGCATCAGTCATGTCGATGAGATTTACCGGAGGTGCTGGCGATGGTGAGTGCAACTTTACATTTGATGAGTGAGCAAATGTGTGAGTGAGTGAGGAGGGATGAGGAAGTGAATGACTAATTGATTGATCCATTGAGTAAAAGGGTGAGGTCCGGGTTTGTTAACGTAACCTTCAATAGACACTTTACAGTGCTGAAGACTGGAGAGGTGTGTGTGTGTGTGT